AGCAGTTTAAGTAGTGAGTAAGATACATGAGAGGACAGAGGAGATGAAGCAGTGGGAAAGACGAATTTATGCTAAAGACTTTGTACTGCATTCCTTAGGCAGAAGGAAACCATATAGGCTCTTAGAAATAGGGAGTGGCCTGATACGAGTTGGGGTTTAGGACAATCAATCTGGTAAACTTGTGTAAAAGAATGAGAGAAGTCTGGGCAAGAAGATCAGTTAAGAGGCCATTAATGATACAAAGGGACAACTATTTCATGATTCCACCTGTATGAGTTACTTAGAATAGTCAAATTCATAGAGATAGAAAGTAGAACAGTGGTTGCCAGGGGCTGGAGGGAGGAGGGAACAGGGAGTTATTGTTTAATGGGTAGAGAGTTTCAGTTTGGGAAAATGAAAAAGTTCTGAGTATGAATGGTGGTGATGGTTGCATAACAGTGTGAGTGTACTTAATGCCACTGAACTGTACATGTAAAAAATGGTTTAAATGGTAAATTTTATGTTGTGTATATTCTACCACAATTACAAAAAAAAAAAAGGCCATTACCATGGTGGTCTGGGTTATCTGGAGGCATGTTGGCAGTGGGAATTGAGGCGAATGAGTAGATTAGAGAATAGTTTTAGAGGTGGGATGGTTTGACACCTGATTGGATGTGGGGGCTAGGGAGAGGAAATAGTCTGCAAAGGTTTAGAAGCAGTTCCCAAACGTTGACTGAGCATGAGAATCAACCACCCAGGCAACTTTTAGTAAAATGCAGGTTGTTAGACTTTACACCAGGCTTACTATAATACCGGTTTAGATACTTGGTGGCTAGAAAGATGCTGATACTAATCCTGAAAACTAAAACATTGAACACAGGAGAAGGGGATTCAGGATAATAAAGATTAGTTCACATTTGGATATGCTGAATTTGAAGGATGGGGACAGCACCCAGGCAGAAGAAACTTGGGCCAACAAGAGATACTGGATCTAGAGATCTATGTTAGATTTAGAGATCTAGCATTGAAAATTTCCAGGAGAAAGAGGATTAAGTGAGAAGAAAGTGCTAAAACCAGAGCCTTGGGGAATACCTACATTGCAGGGATTGGAGGAGAAAAAAGGAGCCAAAAAATCAATGACTAGAAAGGAGGAATAAAAAACAGTTGATAGAGTACATTGTAAAAGATATTGGAATGGTTGAGAATAAGGACTGAGGGCCTTTGGATAGGGTGAGTAAGAAAACACTGGTGACTCTTTAGAATGCAGTCTTATTCAGAAGAGACTGAGTGAAAGGAGAATATAGAATAGCAAGCATAAACGTACCCCCCCCCCCGCCAAGGAATGGTAAATGAGGGAGGAGCCAATTCAGGGTTAGTTAGGCCAAGGCAAAGCTTTTTTGGTTTGGATAAACTTTGTACTATTTTAGGCCAGTAAAATATTTATTGAGTACTTGTCTCTCGTGGGTTCCATCTCTTTTGCTGTTTCTTCTCTTCCCCAGCCATTTAATAGTGGAATGTTCTCTTCCTCATACTATACTATACTATACTATACTATACTATACTATACTATACTATACTATACTATACTATTCTATTCTATACTATACTATACTATTCTATTCTATTCTATACTATTCTACACTATATTATACTATACTATACTATACTATTCTATACTATACTATACTATACTATACTATACTATACTATACTATACTATACTATACTATACTATACTATACTATACTATACTATACTATACTATACTATAGACCATGAAGTATCTTTTGTATAAGCTTTAGAGAGCCACATAAATAGAACTCAGTTTAAAATCAGAGACTGCTTAATATCCCAAATATGGAACTCCTTGTAACTTTATTCATTACAGCTTGGAATTCAGTAAGAATCAGTTGAATCTTGGATCCCATCCAGTGCATTATAGTTTTTGAAGTCTCAACAAGATTTCAGTTTATAAGGTAGTTTTATGTTTAAAGTTTGAGCAAGGTTTCAGTATGTTTTCATCATTTCTTAAGTTTTTTTTGTGTGTGTGCATGATATGGATTCAAAAATTTCAAATATATAATATATAAAGAAAAAAATTAAGTACAGTCCTACACCTATATATAAGCACTATTGATATTTTGAAGAAAAAATTTCCAGACACCTGAACAGGTGTGTGTACAGTACATGTATATGTTTTTGTCACTCTAAAGAGGAGAAGGAGGTACAGAGATGCTTTTGGGGTGAGAGGAAGCCCCCTTCACTTTCAGTAAGAATGATCTGTGCATGAAAGAAAATTATCTTCAGCATCTAAATGCCTACAACAATTTATAAACATTAGTGTTTAAATATTTTGAGGGTAATCTTTATCAGGAAAAATGAAATAATTCTGAAATATATCCTGGGTTCTGAGTTGAAATGAAAGCCATGTGGGGGTGTAAGGGCTCCCCCGTTCATCCAGCCGGGAGTCCAGGTTAAGGCCCTTTGGCAACTGGGAAGGTCTTAATATAGGACTAGAACAGAAGACTGTTAACTTTCCACCTTTCCCAAATCTCAGGTAAATTAGAAACAGGTGTTTATTCAGTTTTTCAGCCATTATGGATGGCTAATTAGATGTGGGAATGGGCTGCATTGCTGTCAACTCAGGTGAGACTCATTGCTCTTATAATAAGGTGATCCATAGATTGCATGTGTAGGTCTGTGTTTTAGTATTGATGTAGTAATCAGTTCAGCGATACTACTGTGTGATTTAATGAACTTCTGAGTAGATCATTAAGACTTCTTTCCTATCCACTATAGTATTCAAGAGTAGTCATTTAGAATGTCTTTAATTTCCCCTTTTGATAGCCCAATAGTTGGTATACTGCCTTACATGTTTAAAAAGCATATTTCTGCCGAAGTTCTTATGATCTAATCCTGTCTTGAAAGCACAGAGCTAAAATATGTATTGAAATGCCTGAGTCAGCTGTTCCAGGGATATATTGGCTGCACCCCTGCTCATTATTTGAGGATGAAAAATCTCTTTGGTGATCTGAGACTACTAGTTTTTCTCTCCACCCAGAAATACATGTATTATAACTATGTATGGAACACACACACACTATACATACAAACACTACATAAACTATATCTAAATTAGAATTGTTATATTTTCTAGTATGCTTAATTTCAGCAGATCTTGTTTAATAACTTGTAAGAAAGTAACTTCACCTCTTCTACTGATTCTTGTTTAATTTTTTTTAACTCTTCTCTAACTTTCTAATTTAGGGAAGGAAAAAGAATTGCACCCACTATTTATTAAATTTTACTGTGTGCCTGGAATTTTTATGTGTTTAGTATTACTCCCATTCTATAGTTGAGGACTCCAGAATGGTCAAGTGAGATCCCATAGCATTGAAATAGCAAGCATAGTTAGGATTCGAACCAGGTCTGTCTGATTCCAAAGGCATCTCTTTCACCACATCATGCTATAGAATGAGCTGTTGACTGCTAGGCTTACAAAAGACTATTATGGATATTATTAAGTAAAAAAAAAAAAGGTGCAGAACAGTAATAATAATATACTACCATAGAGTGAAATATATGTGTATACATATATATACACAAGTGTATGTGTCTATTTTTACATATGCTTAGCATATCTAGTATCTCTCTGGACAATAGTGGTTGTCTCTAGGGATGGGAACGAGGCAGCTAGAAATCTGGACTCTTATTATAAAACCTTTTATACCTTTTGAGTTTTGTTTTATGTGCATGTATTACCCATTCAAAAGAGAAACTGTTTTAAAGACTCTTAGCTATGTTTTTAGAAACATATCTAAAAGTTTCAGAGGCTTATAAGGTTTTTGATGCTGTTGAATATTAATATCAGGTATTATAATATTGACAAACATTGACAATGATCATGTCTTTTTAGTTTCTCAATTTTCACGATGCTACTCTAATGACTTATCACATTGGGATTTGAAAGGAAGATAGAATGCTGATAGAACATGTATTGATGTTAGCAGAAGTAATGATGACTGGTTCATCTATGTCCAAATATTTATTTGTATTTTTAATGATATTAAAGATGTTAGTAATCTCTAATTTATCTAGTTTTTGAAAGAAGAACACCATGCCTCAGATGACAGTAGTTGCTAGTCATGACTGAGGAAAAAAAAGAAGTATTTTATATTAGTCTTAAAATTGAACTTGAAAAGAAAAAGCTTCCTATTCACTAAAAGCTATATTTTTAATTTTGGGCTACATTAATGGAAATAGATTATTCTGAACAATCAAGGTGATGAGTTGAGTCTTCTTTGCATTTATAAAATCATACTTTAGGGCCGAGCCCGTGGCGCACTCGGGAGAGTGCGGCACTGGGAGCGCAGCAGCGCTCCCACCGTGGATTCGGATCCTATATAGGGATGGCCGCCGGTGCGCTCACTGGCTGAGCGCGGTGTGGCCGGTCTCAAAAAAATAAATAAATAAATAAATAAAATCATACTTTATCTTGAATAAACTTTATTTTTGCACTTTTTTTTCAGAACTGTAATGATCTATTTACATAGCTGTCTCCCCTACTAGGCTGGGCATTCCATGAGGGCAGAATCCATGCCTCATTTGCCCTTGTATCTTCAGTGGCTAGCCTATTGCCTGACACTGGGTAGGTAGCTAATAAATGTTAATTCAAGTCAATCAAATCGAACTAGAAATACTTAGTACAAAGAAGAGAGAGATATATATAATCTGTCTTCAGATATTTGAAGGGTTCTCATATAGAAGAGATTAAGTTTGTTTTATATGGCCTCAGTAGACAGCAGAACAATGGGTAGAAATGTCAAGTTCCTAAATGTTATGAGGCACCTAAAGCTAGATGGCATTATCTCAGGAGGTGCTGAATCTATCTCCAAGGGATTCATGGCTCTTTAACTTAGTTTTGCAATTTGTTCTAGCTATTGCATGTATGTGAGTGTTTCAGTTGTCATTTTTCATAGAAAACAAAAATACTAACCACCTTCTTTGATTTTTACTCATAGTCAAGTTTATCCGAGAAGTAACACCATATATCAAGAAGCCATCACTGGTATCAGATCTGCCATGGGAAGGTGCAGCTCCCCAGTCACCAAGCTTTAGTGGCAGTGAGGACTCTGGTTCTCCAAAACACCAGAACAGCACCAAGGACAGGAAGGTCATTCCTCTCAAAATGTGCTTTGCTGCTAGAAACCTAAGCATGCCGGATCTGGAAAACAGGTGAGCTGTACTTAACAAGAATACCATACTTACAGCTTTACAAACTTAAGGACGTGTTACAATATAACATGACTCTGTTAACTAAATTATACAGAGGAAAACATAAATCTGAGATAAGAGATTCATTTTTGGAATTCCATATTTAAATCATTTCATACATATATTACATGTACATGTATAGAAAAATTTTGCACAGGCACACAAGAAACCTGGATAATGAAATGGGATTAGAGGGTAGAAGAGTGAAATGGGACTAGAGAGTGAGTAGAAGGAAAGAGGGAGCATCTACTCTTAATTTCATACCTTTCTGTACTGTTATTATTACTTTTTTCACTATGAACACACATTACTTTACAATTGAAAAAAAATCTTGTTAAAGGAAAATTTTTAAATGTCTTCTTAGATGGAAATTCCTTATACTGTGGATAATGTAAAGAGTCCGAGATCTGCATTATAGGTCTGGCTGCATCAACTAGCAATGTGACCCTGGGAAGTTTGCTTCTCTTGACCTCAGTTTCCTCTTTTGCAAAATAAAAAGTTGGATTGGATAATTTCTAATATTCCTCCTGGTTCTATAACTATATGTGTTCCATGACTTTTTCTTCACTAACTTCATGAAGTGGTACCGGTAGGCCTGGTATTAGGTTCAAGATTAGGAGACTTTTTATAGTGTCCTTTCACTATTATAGTCTTCTCTGATCTGAATGCACAGCCAGGCCCCTAATCAGGATGGGAGGGAGCACAAAAGGCAGCAAGAAGCCGAATGGCCTTCTTGGGCATTTAAGGCCATGAGACATTAAAGCTTCTCTGTGGTGTGGTAGAAAGAGCTGAGCTCTGCAATCAGACAGACCTTGGTTTGAATCCCAACTAGGTAACCTAATCAAAGTGAGGCTCTGAGCAAGTCCTTTCAGCTCCATAAACCACCATGTCCTCATCAATAAAAAAGTGATGATGTTGCTTAGCTCAGTGTGCCCGAGATAATGTATATGAGGCCTCTTGAACAGAACCAAGCACATAGTAGGTTCTCAAGGAATAATATCTTAAAAAATCTTAACTGACAACTATGTATACATATTTTGAAAATTATATTTGATTTATTAGTATTGTTTTTTTTTTTTTTTTTTTAAATTCAAGACATTGTAGAAATGACTTCGTGTTACCTATAGGTTTATTCCTGAAAGGTTATATGTATGATGAATTACGTAAGTGCAACACAGCTCAATGTTTATTTATTTATTTATTTTCACAGCTCAATGTTTAAAGAAACTTTTTTTTTCATAAATAAGAATTTAATTTATAAAGCAAATAATCATCTTGCCTCTTAAATCCATATTAAAAAATTTTTCTTTCAAATGGATACATTTATATGGTTTGTTAACCATTGACTTAAAAAAAAAGTTAGGTAGTAGGGCCCATAGAAAAGGAAAGAGAAAGAAAAACAATGTGTTAAAGAAGAACAAATTGCAACTAAATTTGCCAACTAGTTGTTAGGCGGAAGAAAGTAGAAAGGCTAAGTCCCTTCCTTGTAAATCATTTCTGTTCAAGGGTTCGGATCCCTGTACCGCCCAGCTGAAAAAAAAAAAAAATCATTTCTGAGAATAGATACCTGTACTGCTGCTGATATAGTTGGGTATTGGGGAAAAAGCAAAGTATTATAAAATTTCTGTAGAAACCTGGGATTTGGGGAGTGGGGAAAGAAGGAAGGAAGAAGATGATATGACTTAGCTGTATTGCTAAAAGCTTTGCTATTTTATCGTCCACTAAAATGTCTTTTAGAGCACAGTAACTGTGGCCTTGTTAAAACTTGGGGGCTGCATTCCTTTTGGCATATTTATATGCTAAAGACATCTGGCCGCTGGTCAGGTTTGAAATAGGTCTTCAGAAACAAGTGGAGAGGGCAATTTGGGGCTGCAAGAGTTGTGTCACTCCTTCCTTTTCAGTAAGATGGTCAGTCTACTTGACCATGGCACACTCTACAAGGGAAGGTTTTAGAAGATCCAGGCTAGTGCAGAGATTCTCAGTCTTAATGCTGCAAGGTAATTTGTTTCTAATTTTACTTGAAATACCAAAATTTGCAAATGATTTGCTTTTTGTAAAATATAAATGGAAAGAGATTCGAGGTTGTTCCTTTGATGATCTCACTTTTACTTGCCTTCAGTGTGCTTTTTAGAGAAAAAAGTGGTAGAATTAACTAAAGTAGTTAGCAGAAATTATGCGTACGTTTGGTTACACCCATGGAAATGTGAACATCTATGTGTCTTGGCATAAAAAAATGTACAAAACCATTGACTAATTGGACCTCAGTTATGAGAGTTAGAAGACAGAAATTAGGAAGGTGGGCTTTGAAACTTTGTCCAAGCTATTTGTTTTCCATAGGCATCATTTTTTCCCCTGTATAAAATGAAGACTATAGGAGGATTAAATGAGAAAATGATTGTAAAATTGGCATACTAAATTCGCAAGATATTATTATAGGTGCTATTAGTGTCTTTGTGATCTCAAATAAGTTTAATTTCTCTGTTACCCTATTTTCTGTTTATTAAATGGACATAATAATGCCTGAGCAACTATATTCTTTAGAACTACTTCAAGAATAAATAAAATAATATATATAAAATCACTTGGAGCTCTTTGGTCCCTAAATTTATCTCAATTCTGTCAAAGGAAATGTCAATTTGTTTATCGAGTTTCCTATTTGATGATCACCTGAAATATTTCCAGTTTGGAGCTAGGATGAATAACGTTTCTGTGAAAATTTTTGTACATGTCTCATTTTCATTTCTCTTGGGTAAATTCACAGAAGTGGAATTGCTGGGTAAAAGGTGTACATTTAGTTTTTAAAGAAACTGCCCCGCCAAAAAGAAAAGAAACTGCAACTGCCAGATATTCTTTCAAAGTGCCAATTTACATACCCACCAACAATGCATGAGAGTTTCTATTGCTCCACATCCTCACCAACATTGGTGGTGCCAGTCGTTTTAATATTAAGTATTCTGGTGGGTGTGTAGTGGAATCTCTTTGTAGTTCATCCTTCATTTTTACATAAAAACTTCCCTTTCGGGGCCGGCCCTGTGGCTCACTCGGGAGAGTGCGGTGTTGATAACACCAAGGCCAAGGGTTCGGATCCCACATAGGGATGGCCGGTTAGCTCACTGGGTGAGCATGGTGCTGACAACACCAAGTCAAGGGTTAAGATCCCCTTACCGGTCATCTTTTTAAAAAAAAAAAAAAAAAAAAACCTTCCCTTTCTTTTTCTTTTCTTTTCTTTTTTTTTTTTTTTTTTGTGCCTGTCTGGTAAAGGGAGGCTTTACTTTCTAAACCCCAAACTTATTTGATATTAGAGGGAAACATCCTTTTTTTCTGTTTTACTACTTTGATTTGGTTCCACTATGTAGAGCTGAAAAAAAGTGCTAACTATCAAATGAGTAAGAGGGAGGAAGAAGTTTATTCCCTTCTCCCACCTTGAATTTTCTTTCTTTCTTTTTTTTTTTTTATTATTTCTTTTTTGTGACCGGTAAGGGGATTGCAACCCTCGGCTTGGTGTCGCCCACACCATGCTCAGCCAGTGAGCGCACCGGCCACCCCTATATAGGATCCAAACCGGTGGCCTCGGCGCTCCCAGCGCCACACTCTCCCAAGCAAGCCACGGGTTCGGCCCCACCTTGAATTTTCAAGACCTCATTAGATGCTTCTGATAATTATAAGTATTTCATTCTGGAAAGTGAAAGCTAAACAATGAAGTCCAGGGAGAGAACATGAGCCCATTCCTTAGCAAATAACATTGTGGGCAGTGTGAAGTTTAGCAAGGACAATGTGTTCTTAAACTCTGCTTTTCGGAAATATAAATCTCTGTCCTTTCTGCTGGCTCACAATGTATTGGTCATCTTCACACTGACTATTTTCCATGTAAAAGGAAGATTTTGGTTTCATAACATATAAAATCAAACAAGTATTACTAAATTGAGCACATAGCTATATCAAATACTTTTTTTTTTTTTCCTTTTTGTCTTTTTTCGTGACCGGCAACGGATCGCAACCCTCAGTGTCGCGCCCGGACCGGACCGGGACCAGCCACGGGATCGCAACCCTCGGTGTTGCTCCCGCCCCTCGCTCAGCCAGTGAGCGGCCGGTCTGTATGTGGGATCCGAACCCTCGGCGGGAGCGCCACCGCTCTTCCCAAGTGGCGCACTACAGCAGTGCGCCACCAGGCCGGCCCCTATATCAAATACTTTTTACTAAACAGAAGAAATAAAGTAGGCTAGGTTATAGAATCCTTTGTTTCTGTGTACCTAAACATTGGTTTGATTCATCTGATCAAAATGTAACTGCATTTGTCAGGAAATCCTCAATGGTTTGACTAGAGTCCAAAACTTTTCACTTCGTAGCTGTCTTCTCCTCTCTCCTGTGGGCCCAAACAATTACTGGCAGCTTGCCTCCATATTTTTATTAGCAGAGTTTTTCATTTGAATTTTTTTTTGTAAAACAGCAGTAGATTTTAGGAATTGCTTTGTCTCCTTTATCAATTTTAGGGACTTCTTCTAAGGCAGATTCTCCTGGATCCTGGACTCATCATTCCTGTTTTGGAGTTTCTTTTGTTTCTTCTGATTTATTTTTCTATTTCACAACCCCTTTTCAAGAAACACTTCAAAATTTCTCTTTTCATAAAAAATTGGGACGTCTCTGGGAAATAACTTGCTGCCTATTTTCATCTTTTTCCAGCCCAGTGGTCTCGGTATCCACTCCTGTTTAATTAGGCTTAGTTTTATTTTATAACAGATTTATTTTCCATTCTTCCCGTCATTTATAACTAGGATCTCTGATACCAGGATTTTCAGAATTTGGACTGGATCAAAGGAAACATTTATGAGAGATTGTCCCAGGAATTGTATGAGGTGTAAAGACTTTTTCAGAAAGTGAATGTTTTGTGCCTAGAGAATAAGTATGAACTGATTCCTATCTTTAGTTCTAAGTAGGTCAGTAGGAGGCGTGAAGGAAATTTCTAGTCATGGTTTTGC